TCCTCACCTCTGTTGCCTGTCCCTCCGTCTGCCTCCTCGCCCTCTACGAGGTCCCTCTGGCTCCAGCCTCCCAGTTGTCCGAGGCCCCTACGGCTGCTGCCTCTCTCCCGCTGGGGTTCCCTCGGCCTCCCCGTTTCTCCTCATCTGCCTTCCTGCCTCCTGATTTTGTGCCCAGCTAAATTGCCTCTAATCATACATACAAATCAGGTGAAACTATAGCTATTTCTTACCATTTTTTACTATTTCCTTCATTTACTGTGTGTCCCTGAAGTAATCTTTCACCCTGTTAGTATGAACTTTCTCGCCTTTCAGTTTCTTCAAAACCATTTTCAGGAAGTGACTTCTTTTTTTAAAATAAGAATTCAGTTGTACAAACTGCGCTAATCTTCATCTATGACTCATACCTTTTTTAGTTTTTGAAATGTTATCCTGCTTGTCACAGTCTTAAAGGTCCACCGGCTATGTTAAAGTTTGTTCAGTCAAAAAACATTTGAAAACATATCTGATATAGTTATACAACTTCTATTTATTTGTAGAAGGTTAGCTAGCTAAATGTCGATCATTCAAAGAGCTACAGCTAATTTACCTCAAAATGTTCCACCCTGAATGTGAACCTAACTTGGTGGAAATTCTAAGAGAATTCACTGAATTTTATGTATATTGCAAATGATATTAATTAGGTAAAGGCACTACCAATTGGTGCATGCATGTCTGTTAGACCCAAAAGTTTATTGGGATTTATTACCAATAGTACTTCAGCAGATCCTGTCTTTATCACTTTACAAACAACACTCAAGGTTCATGTCTGTCACACCCTCTGCCAGACACTCCTGTTGTTTTCGAAATCACGTACTGCATACAGCGTACTGCATACTGTAAACAGAATATACTGTATGCCAGGGGTCATCAACTATATTTGTCAGAGGGCCAGAGTTTTACCAGACAGTCTCCTTGGGGGCCGGACCCCCAAGAAGAAAATCAAATAAAAATCTAATTTTGGCTTAAC